TCGAGCTTTTCAGCCGAGTCGCCGTTTTCCGCGGCGGACGGAGCCACTTTCCGCCGAGATTTCGTGGGCAGCATCGTGGCGATGAAAGAGAACAGGGCGCGGAGAGGATTTTAGGAAAAATGGGAGAGTGAGAGGAGGAGAGAGATGGACCTAAGCCTGCTGAGGTTGGAGGCTAGACTTCGAGAGCTGGGCTTGGGCCATGATTTGGGCAGGGGGCCGGCCTTGGTCTCTCCCTTGGCATAGTTTGGAGTTAAGTGTGGATGGGCCTATATTTGTATATGCACACACACATACGTATATATTTCCTTTTTTTTTTTTTTTTTTTAATAACATATGTATTAATTAATACAAATAAATCGTAATAAAAATGGACTCCCTTAATCAAACCCTATTTTTTTATTTTTTATTTTGATGTGATGAAAGGAATCTTTAATTTTGAGAAGATAAAACATGATGCCAAGACCTCACGAAGCTTCCAGATACGTGGTAGTGCTTGTGCAAGAGACTGCAATGGGGTTTCGTTGTGTAGTGCCTTTTGTTCATAGTCTTTTTCCTTCGGTGGTGCGCTACCGTGTGGAGCTGTGCAAGAGCCTGCAACGAGATTTCGCTGTATAACAACTTTCCTTAGTGGTGACGTCGATGTGCCTCTTGCCTCCGCTTGGAAAGACCGTCATGTAGCTGCCCTTCCTTTAAAGAAATAAAGTATTCACATTTTTGAATTTGCTTTTCATTCTTCAAAGTGTTTTTTTTTTTTTTAGATGGTGTGACTGTACTTGAAGTTTCGACGTTTCAAGTTGCCTACGTACCCTCTGTTGAGGAGGGATCAAGTCATAACGTAGTTCAAATGAGCGATGAATTTAGCAGTGATTTTGATGATGATTTTGCCGTACACAGTTTATGCTCTTGTGGGCCAGGAGCGTTTGGTGTTGCCTTTTATGCTCGTGCAGACCAGGAGCGTTGGTGTCGCCTTTTATGCTCGTGCGGACCAGGAGCGTTGTGCCATGCAGTTTAGGCTCGTGTAGGCAAGGAGCTTTGGTTCGTGCAGTTTAGGCTCGTGCGAACAAGGAGCATTGTGTCTTGCAGTTTAGGCTCTTACAGACAAGGAGCTTTGTGCCATGCAGTTTAGACTCGTGCGGGCGAGGAGAATTTGTGAATTTTGTCAAGCAATCCGGGAGAGGCGTTCCTCACAATTCTCATAGCAAGGAGCTTTGACCGCGTGATTGAAGAAGTCTTCGGGCAAGAAATCGCGCATCGTGATGGGGATGGACGATCTATGTGTCGAAATTTCATCATCTTCAACAAGTTCACGTTGCTTTGAAGGTTGACAAGAGCTGCTTTGCCCCCTTTCCGATTGGCGGACTTGTGGAGGAGACGTATGCTTCTTGTGCAATTTCTTAGGAGTGACTTGAGTCCATCCTTCTACTTTGCTTGTCTTGGAGGATGCCCCCAGCGGTTGAGGTGAAAACTTTGAGTCGGAAGAGCCAGAAGTGAAGGTGGTATAGTTTGACTCCCCCACATCGTCAAGATCTAGCTCGATGATTCCTTTCTGAGCCAGCTTCATGATGAGATCTTTCAGCACGAAACATTTTTCTGTCGGATGACTGATGAAGCGGTGGAATTTATAGTATCTTGGACTGTCGGTACAATTCATCTCTTCCGGCCGTCTGCACTCAGGCAAACTGATCACCTTCTTGTCCAACAGGTCATCTAGCATGGCAACCACATCAGAGTCGGGGAATGGATAAGTCTTCTCCTCAAGCTCCTTCAAAGTGCGTCTACGCATCTCTTGATCACGAAAAGCTTCGGTTTGAATCGCCTTGCCTCGTGTGGATATTTTGATGGGAGATGTGTTGACCGTCATCGCTTCCTTGGTGGGTTTCCATGCACCCTTTTCCACCTTTGTCCCAAGAACTTTGTCGTTCTTGTAGTCGGCGATCGGTTCTTTCTTCCCATGATGGGCGATGCTCAACTCCATGTCATGGGCGTGAGTGGCCAATTCCTCGAAGGTCCGCGGTTTAATGCCTTGAAGGATGTATTGCAAACCCTATTGCATGCCTTGGATGCACATCTCGATTGAAGAGGTTTCCGAGAGCCTATCTTTACAGTCGAGGCTTAGAGTGCGCCATCTGTTGATGTAGTCAATGACTGGTTCGTCCTTCCACTGCTTCGTGCTTGTTAGCTCTAGCATGCTCACAGTGCGGCGAGTGCTGTAGAAGCGATTGAGGAATTCCCGCTCCAATTGCTCCCAACTGTTGATGGACTCAGGCTCCAGATCCGTGTACCACTCAAAGGCGTTTCCTTTCAGCGAGCGCACAAACTGCTTGGCGAGGTAATCCCATTCGGTTCCTGCGTTGTTGCAAGTTTCAACGAAGTGGGCAACGTGCTGTTTCGGGTTTCCCTTTCCATCAAATTGCATGAACTTTGGTGGTTGATAACCCTTCGGCATCCTTAAAGCGTCGATCTTCTTTGAATACGGCTTTGAGTACAACCCGGAGGTATATGAGCTCCCTTCGTACTGTGCCTTGATGGTGTTGGTGATCATCTCTTGCAGCTGCTGGATAGAAAGAGATCCCATGAGTGCCGCTGCTTGGTCTGGCTCCGGCTTCGCATCGTTTTTCTTCACCTGAGGCTCCTCTTCTTCGTCCTCTCTTCTCTTTAGTGGATCATTCTCTGGGTCGGGTTTATCGCCGTCCTGTGCCTCTAGTCGATTGACGAGTGCTGCAATTTGCAAGTCTTTTTCTTCCACAGTTCGGGTTAGCCTTGCGATTGCTTCATTCATCTGAGCCAGCTGCTCATCGATTGAAGTTGCTCCAATGGTCATGACTTACATGGCTGAACTGCCGCTTGAATCGTCATCGGAGAGCATGGATTCGGAGTATTCCCTTGGTCTTTCCCCCCTTGGTGCCCTTAGTGAGGCTAAGGTGATCATAGGCTCGCGCCTGGGGTACTCTTGTCCCTTTGGCAGAGTTAATGCAGAGGTGAAAAAGGTGGCAGAAGTAGCTCTTGCCATGCTTCGAGTCGTGATGCCCAAAGTGACACCACTTGCGACGAGGACGCTCTTGTTCTTTGCGCCGGTTGCGGGAACAGTTTGAGCCTTCCTTGATGCCATTAATTTTCGAAGTGCGCTTGAATTTCGGAGAAAGAGATGAGAGGCAGAGATGGTCCCACTGGGCGTGCCAATTTGTGAACACGGAAAATTCCTGAAACGAAAGAGACAAGAACAACGCGCACAAACAAATATTAAGTATTTGATGATTTTGGGTTACAATCTCTCTCTATTTTGATCCTCTGATTCGATCTCCGTAAGGTGTTGATTGGTGGATGTTTTGTTGATCCAAGGGCCGTTGATGCTTGATCTTGGATGAATTGTTGGAAGTTTCTTCAAAGGGCCGTGGGCTTGATCTTTGAAGGTGGATTTGAGCGGATCTTCAAGGAGCCGTTGGGACTTGATCTTGAAGAACAGTGATGAACGGATCTTCAAGGGCTTTTAGGCTTGATCTTGAAGAACAGTGATGAACGGATCTTCAAGGGCTTTTGGGCTTAATCTTGAAGAACGGTTGGATGTGTGGATTTGTCGACGTTGTTGATCCAAAGGGCCGTTGGGGCTTGATCTTGGATGAACAGATGATGAACGATGGTGCTTTCCTCAAGGGCCGTCGGGGCTTGATCTTGAATTGGTGGAAGTTCTTCAAGGGCCGTTGGGGCTTGATCTTGGAAGAACGATGAACGAAGAACACTTTCTTCAAGGGCCGTCGGGGCTTAATCTTGAAGGTGGATGATTGTTGATCCAAAGGGCCGTTGGGGCTTGATCTTGGATGAACGGATGATGAACGATGGTGCTTTCTTCAAGGGCCGTCGGGGCTTGATCTTGAAAGAGCGATGGACGAAGAACGAAGAACGAAGAACGAAGAGAGCTTTCTTGATTCTTCGGGAACCTGGATGCTTGAGAGCTTCGGAGTTTCAGAGTTTCAGAGCTTCAAGGTGTAATATGAATTTCCCCCCAAATGAATGAAATGGGCTTGTATTTATAGAATTTTCCAAGGCCTAACTTTGAATATAATATTCCAGATGAAATAAGCCGTTTCTGCCAGGTGTTGACATGTGTCCTATTTGATGACTTTTCCAACTCATTTCAATTTTCGTTGAGTCACACGCTACGTGTAAAATTTATGTAATACATGAGCGTTGACACTTTGATCTATCGGTCAACATTTATTTACCGAAATTTCGATGTCTACAATTAGTTTTCGAGACCTAGACTAATGAATGTGACGACTTCTGCTTCCAACTATGGTAGTATCTTCACTTATGGATAAATTTTCCCTATTTTTAGGGTAGATTGTGGATTTTGGTATAAAGTCAACTTAAAACGATGTCTCGAATCAAGGGTTAAAGGTAATTCAAGCTAATTAGTTGGACATCAGATGGAAAAGTGTTGAACTCATCGAGTTCCTGGGAGGAACTTAGCTCTAGTTCTGATCTTGCAAGTTGTGAGGATTAAAGTAACATGATGGTGTATGGTCTAGTGGTATTTCTCTTTACTTGTAAGTGAGAAATATTAAGTTCGATTCTCACCAAAGGTAAATTTGAACTATATTATCGTCTGTTCATTGTGAGGCTAAGCCCACCCTCCTCTCCCCTAGTGTAATAATATCGTTTGTTCAAAAAAAAAAAAAAAAAATTATACCCCTAATGTATTTTTTTATTTTTTTGGATTGTATTCTTGAAAAAAGGAAGAAATATCATTTAGGGCTCCCAATTAGACATGTTAATAAATTAGGTTTTGATCTGGTCCGGTAATAGGAATATATTCGAATATGTAAGGCTAATTCGATTCGAAAATAATTACTATAACACATGATCTTATACAAATTCAATTTTATTTTTGTATTAGATATCGATGAAGGGTGATCTGGTATTTTTCATTTGAGACCAGCTGGTTCGTTTACATATTTATTTCTATATTTGGAAAACGAAACAAATTTTTGAAAACGTTCCCAACCATACCTTAATTTTCCTATTTTATTTATGTTAGTATTATTAAGAGTTTTCAAAACTAATTAAGTACTTTAATTGGGTCTGAAAGCCGAAGCCCACAGCCTTTTTCAAGTTATATACGACCAACTCAAGACCGCAACTACAAGCTTTCGCAACACAGGACCAGTTTGAAATCGTAACTGTAAGCTTTCTTCTGCTTATATTACTCCCCCCCAACTCCCTTCCCTCCTCGACCCCTCTCTCTCCTCTCTCTCTCTCTCTCTCTCTCTTGATTTCAAATTTTCAAGATCTAGACTTAGGTTTTGTGTCGAAGTCCTAAAAGGCTCCACGAAAGGCAAAGCTCGCGACTTTCGGACATTCTTCACGAACGTTAGCCCCTGCACTTTGCTTTCTTTTTCTAGGGTTGTTGGTATTCTTGGCCATTTTTGCACATGGACTATGATGTCTCCGAAATCAGTGGTGAGAAAAGTTCGAACCTTTACCGTTTTCTCTAATCTGGGTCATGTTCTTAACGGATTTCGGGTAGTGGGTTAGGGTTTAATTTGGATAATTTGTACAATTGGGTTTCGTTCGGGCCCTGCGGAATGCGGAGTGGGTTTTTCTGCAAATTAGGGTTTTGGGGGTTATTGGGTTTTGTTCGAATTGGGGAGGTTGAGGTTATAATTGTGTGATTTTGTTGGTGTTCGTCTCTGGGTTTTGCTTTTGGGAATTTGGGTTTTGGCAATGCATGGAATTAGGGTTTTTGATAGGTTTCTTTTGCTCTCTATGTGTGAAATACTTAGGGGTTTGGAATTCTTGCGTATTGTAATAGTTACTGTAAAACATTTTCTGCTATCTGTTTGTAAAGGGGGTTACAGATTACTTAGGCTTGCCAACTCAAAGTGACTCGTAAGTACATTTGTTGTGACTCCTTTCATTTTTTCCCAAATATAATGATCATTATGGATTCTGGATAGAGTGGAAGGAACTGAAGATGGGATAAGGAATGAATTTTACTATATTCACAGATTGATAATATAATAATTGTAATTTGTACGCGTAAATATGTGTGTACGTAAGATGCATGGATATCAACGATGCAAGTGTTATTAAATTGCCATACTGCTTTTGTTTTCTTTATGGATTACTTGAAACAATTGTTTGTTGCCTTTGTCATCTAATAGTTATCCTCTCTTCTGAGGTAAAGTTACGGGTGACAGATTTCTTGTACATCTCTATACCTTTATATGGAATAACTGCAGGCACTGATGATGATCTTCCTCCATCTCATCAAAACAGAATTCCTCGAGGGGGTAAAGTCTCAGGAAACGAAAGATCTGCTGTAGGTTCTATCTCATTTTCTAGGATGTATACAGACATGGAGGCTGAAATTCATCACCTTGAGCAAGAAGCATACTGTGCAGTCCTAAGGGCCTTTAAAGCGCAGTCTAATGCGATTACTTGGGTATTTATGGTTGCATGTCACTGTGCTTGTTATCTTGAATCCTTGATATTGTTTGTGAATATTTGTCATGGGTGTGTACGTCAGGAGAAGGAAGGTTTGATTACTGAACTTAGGAAAGAACTGAGAGTATCGGATGATGAACACAGAGAGCTTCTGACCAGGGTTAATTCTGAGGACATCATCGATAAGATAAGGTAAGTCTCTTGAAAGTTGAAAAAGATGTAGCAAAGTGACTCATATATTGCCTAGGAGTTAAGTTTTATACTTTTTAATCGTCACATGTTTGTATCAGAGTGTGGAGAGACAAAGGTGGTCATCAAGCTGCTAGGCTTACTTCATCTCAGAATGTAAATGTATTTGAACTTTTATCTAGTCCTACTATTTCAGCGTCCCGAAAGAAACAGAAAACATCACAATCGGTAACTTCTTAAGCATTCCGTCTCCCAATGCTGGCTTTAACGTAGCACTTGTTTTGCAGCCTTTGTGTTTAAAAGTAATTTAAGGAGCTCATTGGAGCCATGAGGAAAGTCAATTATAAACTTAAAGTAATCATCATGGTCATGTGAAGAAAAACAGTTAATTCACCTTAGTTTTGTGTGTTATTCTTAGCATGGTCAGCCATTCCCTGGTTTATCCTCAATGAAGTCCATGAAATACCCTTCAACAGGACCTGTTGGAAGTAGACAATTCACCCGCAGTTCTTCTGGTCCCTTTGTTGAAGCGGCTGAAGCAGAAACATCTGATTCATTAGTTGGAAGGAAAGTGTGGACAAGGTGGCCTGAAGACAACAGCTTCTATGAAGCCGTTATCACTTACTACAACCCGGCAGAGGTAGGTTTGAAGTCTCTATAAGATGTTTCTGATTCAGTCCTTCTGTAACAACATTAGTTGTTTTGAAGTTGTAAGTTTAGTTTCTGGTAACATGCACATGTCAGAGTGAAAGAAGCATAGATGAAAGTTCGCCGAGTTAATAGGTATTATTAGTGGTATACTTCCAGTTTGTTGTTTTATTTTTTAATTCATCTTCGATGGGGTTGTGCTCCTACTAAATTTGATATGATAGAAGCTAGAAACTCTCTTAAATTGCATAAGTGAACACTACCTTGTAATACCAATATGGAGAGTTGTTTCGTATGTTATAGGTTCAGTTGACTCTAAATTAAAAACGAATACTGTAGACATTTTTTCTAATTAAAAGTTGATGACTTCTAGTCTGAATCGCCTCGTCAGTGTCAGATCTTAAGATTGTTTTGCCTCCTTTTTAAAAACATGCAATAGTCTTGCAACATATTTGGAATAATTGAACCAAAGTAGTTGTCAATGGTACAGGACGTTGGTGTAAATTTAACATTAAAGATACATCCACTTGACATGTTTTCGTGCTCTTAGCTGACGTTTAAATGACCCTTGTTTTGATAGTCTATCATGTGTCAGATTCTTCAAACATTCAAATAAACTTGTATTTTTTACAGGGTCGACACGCTTTGGTCTATGACATACATACACCAAATGAGACATGGGAATGGGTTGATCTTAAAGAGGTGAGTCTATAAGTTCTATGTGATGTGTGCATCTATTCCACTGTGACATTAACCTGTTAATATTCCTGTAGCTATTTGTCAAACCTAATCATTAACCGAAAAGTAGGAACCACAAGGAGAATGCATGAGAGATATAGATTTAGAGCATTTATTTCTTCTGCTAACCTTTTTAATAATAAGCAGATGTGTACATCTTATACCAGCATCTTAGCCCATATTACATAAACGACCTATATAATTGTAGCCCTCCAGTATAATTAAAAACTGCTCACTGGCTTTTATTAAACGACCTATACATTTTCCACATTGCTGGTTTTAATCATATTCTTCTACATTGTTTATGGTAATCGACAAAGTTCTATCCCGAGAAATCAAGACTTCATGAATATTTTTAAAAAGGGGAATGGGATTCCATTGACTCGTTACTGATTACAGATCTCTCCTGAGGATATCTGTTGGGAAGATCCGGGCCCATCAGGACGCAGGGCTAAGAAATCTACAAGCCATACCTCAAGAAAGCGAGGACCCACAAAGTCTCAATCAAAGAAAGAACTTACATCGCAAAATGGTATAGGGAAGGCGCCAGATGATTTAGAATTATTAAATACTGATACCCTGGTGAAGGAGGTATGTATGATGAACTTTACTAGGTGTTGAGCCCACCCTATCTGAAATTATGTTCGTTATTTTTATTTCACTGCTTTGAATTTTACTAGGTGGAGAGAGTTTTCAATGCAAGCGAGCCAGATCCTTTTGAGCTCGAAAAAGCAAGGAAAATTCTGAAAGTAAGATTAATTCCTTTACTTTCTCTCCTGTTTCTCCTAATCTTAGTTAAAATTCCAATTTGACGCTTATATGCATCAAATGCAGGATCATGAACAGGCCCTTGTTGATGCCATTCAAAGGCTGGCATATGCATCAGATGGTGAAAGTGGTAATAGATATATGCGTACATAATTATCATTGATCACTCTGTTTTTCTTCTCTTTTGAGCTCAAAATAAGTTAAACGGCCAATTGTTGTACCGTCTAGAGTTTCCGGTATGCAAGTTAGTTTTTAACGGCAGATTGGAGTTACTCATTAGTAGCGTTTGCAATACTGCGCCTTTGTTAGGCCTTGTAATCTTGTAGTTGATTAAAATGAAAATAACCCATCACCTAACAGTGTACAAAATGACTCGTAAATAAAATGTATCCATAAAGATGGGTGGATTACTCGGCTTTTAATTATATGAGCATCACACTAGATCCAAACAGACGTTATGACCGTGGTTTGTGATTAAACTGTTTGCATTCTGCTTATTCTTTGTAATTTTTCTTCAAAGCAGATAGAGAGCACACATTTCTGCACAGTCGATCAATGGATGGATAGCAGTGGGAACAAGTATCGTTGTTGAAAGCATCAGAGTATTGACAGAGTCCAAAACGGGATGATCTTTGGCAGGTACTCTTCGGAGGTAGCAGGAATACAGGTCGTGATCGAATTTATTAGGCACATCCAAATGTGAAAACATCTCGATTTAGTGTTTCAGATACGGCAAGAAGTTGAGGAGGTACCGTTTCTTTCAGAACCTGTCAGATTGTTGCTCAAATGTAAAGTTGATTATAGCAAATGACATCAAGAACTTGTCCTGATTCATTCCCTCCTGTATGAAGCTGGAGATTTACAGCTTGCGGTGTTGATCTCTTGTAGCATGTTTAAACTGCGTACATAAATCCTGCGAAGAAAGCAAACAAATTCGCATTCGTGGCAAAATACCACTTTCTTCTTCGAGTAAAAATTCCTTCTGGTTTCCCTTGATATGGTGATGATTAAATTGATAAACACCTGAACACGAAGCGGGGTTTACTACACCAGGTAGAGCCAGAGATGAGAGCACCCTGCACAAACAAATATTTAAGTTCATCGTTGTTGAAAGGATGAGCTCTAATTACTGTTGAAATCCAGGCTGAGGTTTTTCATGCATCGACGAACATGTCAAAAGAAAACACAAACAGTAACATTTGTCAGAAGAAAATACAAACCGTAACATATTTTGTGATTACATCGACATTCAAATCGTAGGAACTATACCCTTGCAAAGCTTAACAAATTTCCATATATAAATGGATCTTGATGCAAAAGGATGCTAGAAACATGGCTATTCTACTCTCAAAAGCAAAAGTAAATTTGGATGCACAGAATAAGTTGAGTACACCGACTATAAAAGAAACGATTGTTCTACTACTGTCGAAGTACTACCGATGAACTAAGTACGGTTTCATGAATAACTTGTATAAACAAAGTATTCAATACAAATGTCCAAACTACCTTGGAGAGAATCATACACCATCAGCAAACTGGATCCCAAAGGCACAAGTTGAAAGAGAGCTAGCAGAAAGTCGAAAGACCAAACCAGGTCTGCATTAGGCAGCTAAACTTGTCTCCAATTTGCAACCAAAATCTAATAAAATGGTTTAACTAACTATCAAAGGTCCTGTGAAACAACAGAATGTCCTGTGCACAAATTTTTTTTTGAATTTTCTACTTCATACCAAAAGATTAAAACGATCAACACAACGATTGCTCTCTACATGTTCCCAAAAGTGATCAATCGGAGGAAAAGACATGAACTTACACTAATCACAGTGTCTACGAATCAAATCAATCTCAAAATGCACTCTACAACAGAAACTGTCAAATTATGAGAGACACGGGCCAAAGGCTCACTTCTAACAACACCGATATCGTCCCCAACTTAGTAATTACCACCTGCACAATCCATCAAGTATGGAGTTTTATCACAAAATGTCTCGGTATTAGTTGGAGTGAGGTTAGAATATTTAGACTCTTCTTTCCTCGAAGATACAATCGATGTGAAATAAACAGAATCAACCCTCCTAGTGTATATTCTTCTACGCCAAAAACACTTCCAAATGACATAACTCAACCAAACGCTGCGGATTACTAGTCTCATTCCTTCTTGTGTAAATGTCTTTGAAATAAATCAACAATTCAACATACACCAGCATACTACATATCCTACAAGATAGCTCAAATGAGATCTTGTTCTTTCGGGACTCCGGGGTTTATAAGCATAAGACCCAACACCAGAAATCTATAATCTACCTCATTAGCATCTTAATCCAGACCTTAACAAGATCATAAACATCTCTATAATTCAAGCAGCTCCAGTTAAAAATCAAAACTTGATTAATAATATCGACATCTAAAGCATCAATTGCACATATAAACAAACGGATCATCCACAAAACCCCAAAGACAAAGGAAAAACAGGAGGACCCCAAAATGCAAAGAAATATTAATCAACAAAAATGGCAAACAAAAAAGCACACCTGCAGAAGAAGACACGAAAACGCAAACGAAATCTGATTCTGCAGATGAATTATATGAGACCCTTTCAGTTGCTGCGAATCTGCCGGCGTTTCTGGTATCAAAGGCGACGGCTTTGAAGCCCCCATTTGAGCAGAAGGTTGGATATCTGGTTTTGGGATTCTTTGGGTTGATTTTGAAGGGTCATATGGAATTCCTCCACCTCAATTGTCATGAAAAGAGTGTGTTTGTAACTGGCAAATGATGAGAGAGAGAGAGAGAGAGAGAGAGAGAGAGAGAAGGGGATGGGATTGGGGGATGACTTTGTTATGAAGGGATGATATCCACAACCACCATTGTTTGAAGGATTTTTGAGTTGAATTTGCATAATTGCATTTGACATTTTTGACAAGAATACCTGGAATAAAAGGGTACCCCTTGAGGGAAGGAAATCAAAAGGAAAGAATGAGGTCAAGGTCCCCCATTAGACTCTGGCTTTTATTATTATTATTTTCTTTCCTTTTCTTGTTTAGAAGAAATAAAGGAAAACATGGAGATTTTAATCAAAGCTTAACTGACAATTTCTAAATTATGGCTTGGACAAGTCATTCATCTACATACACGACGACAACATGACATCATTTCATTATATAAAACGTCATAATCAAAATCGTTCATTTTATTTATCATCGTCTAAATAGTACACTTAAAAGTTATTCTCTTTTGACAAAAAAATATATATAAAAACTCATTCAATGAAGACTGTTTAGCCATCTATACGTGTGGAACAAGTCGACGATTATGATAAAGAAATGAACAGTTTCAATTTTAACGCTTAATGACACATTACATGGAAAAAGTTGTTTTAACACCGAAACTTGTAACGAAGGGATACCTGCTAGTGGTGGAGGGGGGGATTCTCTCCGGATCCCTTCCTCCTAATCCACCAAATCAGGAAATCCATGTCTTTGAAATTTGATCCAACGGCAACAAACAGGAACCCACTTTAAAAATTGTAATAACTTCAGCCATTAAATCAAATTTCAATAGTCTGAATCCCCTAATTTGATGGATTAGGAGGAAGGGATCAGGACAGGAACCATTTCCCAAGGACGGGCAATTAGATTGGGTTTGCTAACACAAAAAGGAAAAATTAATTAAATAGAATTATTGTCAAACGCACTAAACGAGAATCTGTCGAACCAATTTTACTGTCAAACGCACTAAACGAGAATCTGTCGAACCAATTTTACCGTCACACTAGCATCATTGAAATCTCTTTCCACACATAAAACGTCACATTTAGACCCTTTTTGTACAGCGTCATCCCTTACGTGAGTCGAACTTTGATTTAATTCATTTACTATCAAAAGTGTTACGTTTAGAAGTACAATACCTTCCCCAAAATCTTCTCCTACCACAAGGGCAAAGGAGCAACGCAAGTCACTGCCCTCATTCTTGTACCACTCCAAAAAGCTCCTCCACTTCTTCGTTCACAAATTCTTCCTTTGAGTGCCGATAACAATTCTCATAATTTAAATATACGATTATCAACAAATTCCATTGAGCAAGTATCGTTATATGTACTCTATCATTAGAAGAACAAAAAACTGTTTGTAATATTATTATAACAAGGCAGATTACCAAGAACCAACCATCCCCTCTTTGCCTGTCGACTGCTGTGCACTTCAGCTTCATCGGCCTCTAGCTCGTTTAGCTGGACCAGTCGTTGTTGCTGCCGCCCTCTTTGAGGGCCGTCCCACACTCCTCTTCGATGGGCTGTCCTGCTCTTTTGCTGCCTGTCTCCCACCAGAACCTCTGCGTGAACCTTGGTCTTTCTGCGTGTTTCCTTTGCCATTTCCATTTTTCCTCTGCTCTGCTCTGCCTCCTTTGCTGTTATTCTCAGGTGTCTTTGATGCCTCTAGCAATGATCCGGTTTTGGATGAGGAGCTCTTGATTCTACTCAAGAAATTTGTGGCACTTAGCTTTTTCCCACCTGCATTATTGCTGCTCCTCTTTTCCGTCTCAGCTTTGGATTCTGAATTCTCATTGCTAGACAGCACTCTGCTCTTCTTTTCCGTCTCAGCTTTGGACTCTGAATTCTCATTGACATCTGAGTTTCTGTCGTTGTTAGTATTACTACGGGTCCTGACATTTTTGGTTGTGTTGTTTCTTGTACTGCTCCTACGTCTTTCCTTTCTTCTTCTCTTGGTGACATGGAGTTTCTCAATTTCATCCGAGGACTCCTCTTTTTGTTTCCAATTTATAGCTGGTTTGACATCACGGAACGTAGAGGCCTGCTCTTTTCTTCTTTCTGGTCCCGAAGAAGATGTGGACGCTCTTGCAGTTATGGAGCTGCGTTTGCGACAAGCATTGAGTGGAAGTGACAGTTTTGATTTTGCGAGCAATGAATCCGACGTTTCAGGTTCAGGATTCACAGGGGGAGCTGGTTGTGTTGGAGTTTCTTCTTTAGGTAGCGGATCTTGCTTAGGAGCCAGATGAGCCATTTCCTTTGACACAAGTGACCGAAGCTCACACGCAGCCTTGTATTCTGGAGACTTTTTCCCAAAGAAGACTATGGCATTGTTGCAAATAAGCAACATATCTCGAAAAAATAAGCTTCTGCTGCACCGCGAGTACCAACCTCCTTCAAGTCTGGTTTGCACCATTTCAAAATCTACATGCTGCCGAATCATTTTTGTATAATCCTGCAACATTTTAGAACCATAAACGATATTGTTAGCTCTTAATTTCCAATACTGTAAAATCATTTAAGATTACTAAATGGACGACGTCACTGCAATTGTTCTGCAGCTTTCAAGTTGAAAGCGCCACAATTTGGCCCACAAAAACAAAAAGAATGTTTACAATTTGGCAAAACAAATTTTAACCCAACAAAGCGACTATATCTCAAGAGACGCATCTAGTTTGAATCTCCTCCCCCTCAATTAGACTAGTTTAAAATATCATCTTGTAACTTATCTCATCGGTTCAGACAAATCCACTTCACCATTTTCCAATAACCCTCTGTACAAGAGATGGTTTATTTTAAACGAATTTAAACTGCACGGAGTAGAATTTGAATTCAGGTGCACATCCATTATAGGCGTCCTGACTTCGTCTAGCCTAAACATAGTTGTACTTATCTTTACTTTGTTGAAAGATGTTTGAAGTTCGAATCATCCACATTAAGGAAAATGAAAAGTGTGCACACCATGACATGGTGTGGTACACCTGTATTGCACTATAATTTTTCCTATGGGTCCCCTACCAACTATTCTAGCTACTATCTTCTCTTTTGTGCAAAATAATAGTCTAAAGATGGACCCAAAAAAACAGTCAAAAGTTGAAGATATAAGAGTAAGACCTGACCAAAAAAAAAAGAAAGACATTTTATTATAACATATAGTATTCTACTCTAAACTACACTAACGAAACATGAGAGGATTTGAACCCAATATATAGAGAGCTTAAAAAGAGACCGCAAC